TAAAAGGTATCCTCCTACATGTCCTCCTACAAAAGTACAGATTATCGCTGTTTATCTTATTTAGGATGAGGTGCAATTGTATATTTCATTGTGGGAATCTCTAGAAAAAGTGTGTTCCTTCTCTGAAGAAGCTTGAAGCACTGACAGATGGGCACAGTAATGGGAAGAGCTGTGAAAGCTTATCACAGTTGGTGGCAGGCACTGAGGAAGGAGGTCAGCAGCTGCCATGGGCAGTGAAGACTAGATTGTTAAGCGCTTCAAAGGGAATCTAATCCCATTTTGTTAACCATTTGAGTTTGTGTAATATGAATATACATATTTTTCTTTTTCAACAGTATTACTTTTTTTTTCAGTGAAAACGTTGGATAGTGATTTCCTACAGGGATCCTTTTTTTTCCCCCCACGAATGATGGTTTGGTAATTTCCAGCAGTTGACCTGATTTACATGGGTCATAAAGATCTATGACAATTCTTCAACTGTACAGTGCAAATTATTAGCAGCTGTGGCTGTTCCATGTTTCCCAGTTAGAGTGACATAATAGATGTGCACAAGATTCACCATGTAGTCCAAGATTCAACCCTGGGGCTACCGCAAGAGCTTGTCAGTGTGTAAACGTCTTCTGGTGAGCAGACTGGCTATATATTTCCTCAAAATAGAATCATCACCACAAGATAATAACTTGGAATGTGATACGATAGTAGAGAAAGGTGGAACATCAGTGACTAATACCTATGGTCAGCATAAAGCTGACATCTGACTCCGAGATCTCGTGTTGAAATGAGACCAGGTATCCAGAGTACCATGCTGACCTCTAAATTTTAGCATTCTTGGGAACTTTGTTTATTGTGTCTCTCTTTTCTCCTTACCTTCTGTCGCTTTTTGGTGGTTGTCGGAACAGGAAGTAAAGAAAACCCTCCCTCAACATGGACAAAGGCACCAATAAAGACTACATAGTGATTTTTAGGTTTAGAACTGTCAGCAGTAGGTGAAGACCAGTCCCCTTTCTATAGTAACAGAGACCGTGTTTAAAATCTTGCAGAAAACTCACCTCAGTGGGGATAGAGAGACTTAATTTTAAAGACTTATGCTATCCCTCCTCTACCCCATCCAAAACTAAAAACTAACAAAAAACCCTTGTATCTCGATAAGCATAGACGTTTAATTCAGAGCAAGGCTAAAGCCCTTAATAAAACATGGTCCAGTCTGCTTTAAAGAGGGGGGGAAAAAAACTTCCCAATCCCTATAGGCAGTCGGGCAATTCCATAAACCAACCCATAAGTGTTTCAAACAGCCTAAACTTTTGGAACTTCTAGAATTGGGAGGGTCACGTGTTTTTATCAGGCCATGCACATTCCTGTAAAGATGGACACTGCCTTTGTTTTTGGAAGAAGGAGGGCATGACATCTCTTAAAGTTTAGTCATAGACTAAAGTATTTTATCCCTGCAGTTCTTTGCATTTGGTTCAAATAATTTTCCGTTGCTGGTCACAAGTTTTTTCTGATGGTCTAATTAGTCTTGGAGTTAGTCTGTGATGACTTCACCGGGAGCCTGAGGGAAATATGGCTCCAGCACGGGATACAGTGTCAGGAGTTCAGACATGTGATGCACTTTAGCAGAATATGCGTACGGAACATTTGCTTATCGGTTGTTTCTCTTATGAACACGTCAGCATCTCAAAAAAAGCGCCCTGCAGGCGCATATGTGCCAGTAAGTAAGAGTTTGGATGCTTAATGTGTCTGGAATGTTAGCGCTGGCATTTTGTGCCGATAGAAGCATTACAAGAAAAACATATCACTTCCAACATGAGCTGTTGGAATGTTTGTTTCTGGGTTTTGTGGTGGTTTGTTAGGGTCATATGGCGAAATTATCTTGTTGTGGCTATTTAAATTCAGGTTCACGTTTTTTTTTAATATTATCTCTGACACATCTTCTGTGCATTTATAAGTTTCTACTTCTGTTTAATTACATATCTCTCCCATTTTTGTGAGTCTTCACTTTTACTATGCCGGCTTCCTGGCCAATCAGCATCGAGCTGGCTTGATATTGATTGGCTAGGAAGCCGGCCCTATTTTCCCTTGCAGCACTGCCCATCAGAGGAAATCTCCCTCGGACCGAATTTTCCAGTATCGGAGAATTTGGACGAGAACTACTACTCACCTAAATACTCGGTATCGGCTCCGATACTAGTATTGGTATTGGTGCATCCCTAACATATGCCCATTCTTTGATGTGATTATTTTGCAACTTAAAACATTTCAATTTGATGTAATACATATGTTTTCAAATGAAAATTATGTCTTCCAAGTTCATCAATGCAAGACTGCAGTGAAATTAAGGTGGCCATTGTATGTCAAGATTGATGGGCTACACATCGTTATGTCATGCATATGTTTCACCCAGGTGAAAAAAAAAAAGTAATTTTTGGTTTCGGCCTGGCAAAATGTTTAGTTTCATTCTAAAAATTTCATTTCGGTAAAAATTTTGATTCTCTAGATTAAAAATTTAGCAAATATCACGTGACTTGCCTCTAGCAGGATTGCATTTGGGAGGCCTCTGGTCTCTGAGGGAATAAGACCCGTTATCATTATCAACCTGTATTTATGAGTGTGAATTGGGCAACTTTAGGCATATCCATATTTTTGGACTTGGCATAAGCCCAAGTAAGGAAAGTTGGAGTCATTGATGATGCAATGCACCTATAAAGCCATACGCTGCGTCCTTTTCATAAATGTAGCTTGCAGACATATCCAGGGCTTCTTATTGGGGGAGTGATGGTGGAGGATGTCAAACCGCACACTGGTCCGACAGTGTAATATTGGTATATATTATCATTATTATTTTTTATATATATTATATTAGGGGTGCGGAAATTAACGATTAATCCGTCGATTAATCGTTAATTTCTTTGATCGATCAAAGTATTATATTTATTGTAATTATTATTTTTTTTGCAAAGAGGCCAGCGGTTGACTTATGTTAAATGTGAGTTTTTTTTTAAACATTGTACTCTTGACCAGTAAGATGTTCCAATGTACCACTTTATCAGCTCTCTCCATCCAGTGCCTACTGAAGTTAATAGTAGGACTGGATTCGGTGCCAAGCCTATTTAGTATTCCTTCAGCAGTGATGCTGACCCCGTCCCAGTACACAGCTGAGAGCTGCAAGTCTTTAAAGGAGAACTATGAGGTGAGTGCTTTTCACTCACCTCATAGTTCTAACCGACCTGTAACAATGAGACTGTCACAGGTCAGCTCAGTAGATCGGGAAGTGAGCGAACACATACCGGCGTTCGCTCACTTCTCGATCCTGTCACGGCTCTCTGCCGTGACAGGGGAGGGGCTGGTTTCCCCCCTCCCCGCTCCGATCCTCCAGCGCTGACTGAACGGGGGAGGGGGCAGGTACAGCTGGCTCTGCCTCTAGATAGGCAGAGCCAGCTGTTACTCACGCAGCTGGGCGAATCCAGAGATAATTGTCGGGATCCGCTTCAGCTGCTGCGTCTCAGTATACCGCGAGCTGTAGCTTGCGGTATACTGAGCTTGGGGTGACGGGAGGATGCTAGTTTGTGTCCTCCCGTTACCCTAAGGAGAACTATGGGGAAGAGCCCTGACCCCATAGTTCTCCTTTTAATAAAATGTGAAGATCAACATTACTTTCTGGTAAAAGTCTAAAGACTCCTCATACTTTGTGAAGATTTTTTTTTTTTTTGCAAATTGATATTTTATTCTTGGCAGGAAAGCAGCAACTGTAGATAATCCCAAACCCAAACGCCTCTGGCATTCCAGGAACAGATCATGTGTAGAAAGTTTAAGTCTATAGTGAGGGTGATAATCTGCTGCTAAGTAAACAGTGTCTACAGTCTAGAGCTCTTACAGCATTTTTCTCTTATGTCTGTCTGTTATCCATACCCCAAAGGAAATGGAAATAAAAGGATCTGATCAGCACTTGACAGCTGAAGAGTGATAACATTGGTATAGAAGACAGGATTAGAGAAGAAGTAGAACATCTTAAAGGGGATTTCAAAAGTCCCTTAAATTGACACTAAACTTAGGAGTTAAACCTTTCAAAACACATTCAAGTACCGTAACTATTAACAAAAATACAGCTTATTTGTGTATCACTCGGCTGTAGATCCTCAAATCATCACTGAATTGGTGCTGACACTGTCCTTCCTTCTGGAGGGTGGCTACTTTTGTTCCCCATGGTCCCTGCGTGTGTTGTAAAGTAGCCACCACTCCAAGCTCACTTTAGATGATCTCACACTGCAGATTAGTCTACAGAACAAAAGTGTCTGTGTGCAGGAAGTACACTGCTATTTTATTAAGAGGAATTCAAAACCAACGGTACTTTTTTCAGGGTATTGTTTCAGCGCAATTCATATTTCGAAATGTTCCCTGTAACATAGCAAATTTTCACTTTTCAAGTTCTGATTCACCTCAAATATAATACAGTATGCAAGCTTTGCTTGGACAATGGCAATGTTGATCTGTCAATGGTGTTGGGGAGGTTTGGATATGGGCTTTGGTTCTTTAACATTAATCTGAACTGGCTATGTTGGCCATGAAACTTGTGGACACCCTTGTTACTTCCCTTTATTAAAATAGCAGGCCAGTCGCTGGACGGGTGCGCTCATTGTCAGATACTAAACTAGTGCAGTCTGCTGCTTGATATGCCCATGCCCATTATGATGTTTGTAAGGATGCACTCTCCTTATTCCTAGCTGACAAAATAGTGCTCCTCTGACCATTTCGACAAGTCTAAGAGGCACAGTGTGGGCTAAAATATACAGTTGGAGCTTATGAAATTGTTTGCAAGAAGACCAGTAACACTCATTAGTAGACATGCGAGGCCCTGGACTTCAGGCTGCCTGGTTGGTGTCTTGCCCATAGTTGATTTTTTTTTAAATTTATTTTGTTTTATGATTTTAAGTGTAACAATGCATACACATTAGTAAACATGTTCTTAATTTTACACTGAAAAGAATGTTGTCTCTATTGCACAGGTTGGAAATGCCTCATTGTTTTGCCTATGGCTGCACGAACCACAGTGGTAAGCTTCCCTTGGCAGTCTCCATGCACTCTTTCCCCAAGGAGCTGCCACTGGCAGAGACCTGGGTACATCACAGTCGCACTGATGTGGGCAATGTGAAGGAGTTTGTGCGGGACATCCTAATGAAGAATCCAGGGCATTATGTACTGTGTTCAGAGCACTTTGAAGAGGACATGTTTGATCTCGGCGGGGATTCTCCTTTGATTTCATCTGAACCAAACCATAAAAGGATGAGACGAAAACTGAAGGTGAACGCCGTGCCCACGGTTTTTGCTACTGGTGCTCCTAAGCTGCGTAGGCAGGCAGCTTATCACTTGAAAATACACGAAAGAAAACAGGTAATTGGGTTGGGTCGGGATTAGAAAACATGATTACAAAAGCAATATGGCCATTTTGTATAATATCTACACTGCTACAATGATTTTGTAACAAAAACAAATAAAAGCTCCTTCTTTTTTTTTTTTTTTTTTAAATCTCCTTCATAGCAACATATTAGTAAGTAAAGCAGACCGTACCTGGCCACATGTTAGTATTGTTTGCAGTAATATTAACAAATAGAAGTGCTTGTTATTGCCAACATAAATCTCTGTGCTTGTAAATTCCCTGCAGTCAATAATTCATATCTTCAAAATTCTGCACACACTTTTTATTCAAATGTTTTTTTACATTTTTGTTAGAGTGGAATTATAACTGATATTCATTTTTTTTCTTAATTAATGTGTGCCTTTGTTCAGGAGATTTCCAACCACTTCCTTTCCCTTTGTTACTAGGGCATAGAGTGAGGGGATATCCTTCCTGGGGAGACATAAAATGTGCTTAAAACACCTTTTTAGCACAATGTAGTAGGATTGGAACCTTTGTCAGGCGTATATTGCTGTCCACACAGGGCAGATTTCCCCTAACTTTCTGCCCCACTGACATCTTGTGTGGCTGGCTATGACAAGGTGTCTTTGGGAAAGGAAATGAGGGGAACTTTCCCCAGGGCAAACATGGACTTCCAAAAAACACCTGGCAAATGTTCAAAACTTTCTTCTCTCTAAAGTGAAGAAAAAAAAATCTGGAGTTGGCATTTAAGGCCCCATTCACACATATATATTTGGGGCAGTCTCACAAATTCTGGTGTTTATGCGAACAGTTGCGGGAAGTAAGCGCTGTACAATGCAATGAGAGACTGACGGTGCCAGCAGCCTTATGCATGCAATCAGATGTGCAGTGATTACCTGCCGCTGCACACCCCTGTTCACACAAACTCTGTTCAGCCTCATGGAGGAATCTTGAGAGTGCCTAAACGCAAGAGTGAATAGAGACTAACTGATTGTACACTTGGTTGTAAACATTTCTCAAACCTGATTTAAAATATTGCAGAGGGTGCAGCAGCCTTTGGGGTAAGGACATAAAAACCCCCCCAACAAATGGTAACAGAAATGGCGGCATTAATAACCGCATAAAAGGAATCCTTTATTTGATATGCTATGTTGTATTTTGTTCTTCCTTTTGACTTAGTTATTGGATAACCTCCTTGAGCAGCAGAAGCGTCCAAAGTTAGAAGCAGACCAGGCAACCAGCCAGTCCACAACACAGGATATCACAGTGAACACGGTACGAGTGGCTTTTCCTTCACAGCTGGATAAAATGCTGCAGAATTCAAGAGCCAGACACAGACAGGGGAATGTAGGAGCCAGATCGATCTTTTAGGAAGCCAGGAAAAACGTACCAACATGGTATAGGGGTGTGGAAATTTTTTTTTTAAACTACTTGTCCAAGGGCTAAAGTGGGGGCCAAATCTACTTGTCCTTCACGACAATCTACTTGTCCCAATACAAACAATAGTTTTAATCAAAACTAACGATGCACCAATATCGTTTTTTCGGTATCGAGTACCAGTACCGATTTTTTTTTTTTTGCTTTCGGATCTCGCTGACACTGAATACTAATACCGGTATTTCCGCTGACATAGAGCAGGCTTCCCTGGTAATCAGGAAACCGGGCAGCAGGTAATGACATCCCGCCCAGGTTCCTGATTGCCACGGAAGCCGGCTCCATGTTTGGCCTGCTTGATTGCGATTGGCCGGGAAACCTGCTTCCCGGTCAATCAGGAAGCCGGGTGGCGAGTAATGACCTGATTGACCGGGAAACTGGCTTGATGCTGATTTGCCAGGAAGCCGGCTTTCCAGCCAATCAGCAAGGAGCCGGCTTCCCGGGCCAATCAGAAAACCAGGAGGCGGGTCATTACTTGCCGCACGGCTTCCTGATTGCACGGGAAGCTGGCTCCATGTTCCCCTACGGCACTGCCAGTCAGAGGAAATTTTCATCTGGCCGTAAGTTCCAATATCGGGGAAGGTATCGGAGCATTTGGGTGAGTACGAGTACTTGCCCAAATACTCGGTATCGGCACTGATACTAGTATCGGTGCACCCCTAATCAAAACATATTTTACTGTGCTAAATAGCGCTTCTCACTGGTCAGCGCAGTCATCTGACCACGTTGACCAATGAGTGCTTGCAATTTGCAAGCGAAATTCAAAATGCATAGGGGAGGACTGCGCTGGACAGCAGTACGGGGGACAGATAGTACACCCATACTGGCGGAGGGGAGGGATTGTTCGCAGAAAGGTAAGTATAGCCAGGGGGCGGCGGTTTGGGAGAGACAGGGCCAGATTTCATCGGGTAATTTTTTATTTTTCCATATTACCTGGGAAAATGAACTCACCCTTAATTATGTGTGTGTAAGAGAATTCTGGCTACCACCATGGAATGGCAGCTGAAATCTCAAAGCACATGCAGAATGTCCTACGCATGCGTTTATTTGCATGCAGATGGCGGGGGCAGCAGGGTTTCAGTTTTATTTATTTTTTACTTTTGTTTTTTACTTTTTCAGTTTTTTAAATCTTTATATTTTTTTAACTTTTTTTTTTTCTTTTAACTTTTTATTTACTTTTTCCCCTTTTAATGTTCTTCCTATTACATAGGAGATTAAAATCCCTTATGTGATAGTTTGGAGGTGACAGGTTCTCTTTATGGAACCTGCCCTCCAACACAGAACAGCTGTTCTGTGTAGTTCCTGACAGCCGAGACAGGTGGCGCTGTGATTACAGCGCCACGGTCTCAGAGAACACACAGCGCGTAGAGCAGACTTTTTTCGTCTGCTCTATGGCTGAGCCGTTGTACCTTAGTTTTGGGGGTCCCCCAGGAGGGCGGGGGGTGCGGGCAGAAGCGATCGCTGCTGCTCAAATTAATACAAGTGGTCTGATCAGACCACTTGTATTAAACGAGTGGCGGCGGCTCCACAATGTACATTCAGCTCTGCTTCTCCGGAGCCGGGCTGAATGTACTTTAAAACTACTCGCCCGGTGCCCGAAACTGCATGTCCCGGGCATCGGGCGATAGGAATTCCACACCCCTGTGGTAGAACATAGTTTGTGTGTAAAATTGGGACAGCTGCAGTCATTTTAAAAGATGGCAATACATGGAAGGTGAACTCGCAATATACTCTATTTTTCAACATTTTGTCCTTGTATGGCAAGTGATGAAATTACCAGCATGGCAAAGAATTTGACACGTGGAAACCTTTTTCTTGCTCATTGCTAAGTTGCTCATATGGTTCTAAGCAAAAGTTGTGGTACCTTTTTGCCAAATTGTTTTGCGGATTGTCTAAAATGAAAATCCACAGTTTGCTGTCAAATATGCAGGAAGAGGACCCACGAATATCTCTGAACTAGAACCATTCTGCAGGACAACCAGGGAACATATTCTTGAAGCAAGAATTAAGAGGCTGTTTGCTGGTTACAAGATATATTTTGCAGGATCTGAGTCCTGCCAAAGGGGGTATTAGTAGGGAATTTATTGAGCCTAATTGTTCTATTCCGAGGAGTCCGATCTTCTCATATATGGTCAGTTTAAAGGCACCTTGACTTCTAAGATGTGTACAGGCCTTCCTTCAATCCTCCCAGATACAGGTACATATTGTAGCTAAGTCTATTATTTGTAGGAATATTTGAAAGTGAACCTATGTTTACCCATGCTAGGCCAAGTATCAAGATCACAGCCGGGATTATAAGCGGCCTGCTCTCTGACCCATTCTGCTGCCAGAGGAGCTAAGAGTTACTTGTTACATCTGGATTTGTAATAATGTAGCTTTCCCCTGACTACCCGCAACGCTTGGTGCACCTTGTTCACAACTTCATGATGTAACTGCATTAAAGGAGAAGTATTGGGAGCGTAAAATGTACTCTTTCCGAGCCGGCATGTGACACTGCAGCTGTCACAAGCTGGCTCTATAGATCAAGGGCTGAGGGATCACGAACCACTGATCACTCAGCTCGCGGCTTCTCCCTGCAGAGAGTGATGACTGTTAGTCACCACTCCCCGCAAGGATTCTCCCCTCTGTGTTCCTCCAAAGCTCTTTGTGGAAGGGGCGGGCACAACTGGCTCTAGAGAGGCAGAGCCAGCTGTCAATCAGGCAGCGTGGTGGATCCCTACGATATTGTTGGGATCTTTCCCAGCTGCAACGCGACTCTGTGCTGTCGTAAAGTAGCAGGCAGTAGCCGGATATGTGCTGACTTTGGGTCTCAGGAATACATTAGTAAATGTACTCCTTTGACCCAAGAAGAGGACTAAAGTTAAAAAAAAAAAAGGTTTGGCTTTAGTTCTCTTTTAAAATGCATGTTTAATAGTGTTCCAATGCCACAAGGAAAGTAGTGTCAATTATAATCTTAGAAGCTGTTCACATTAGTGTGTTGCTGCTAGTCTTGAAAAAGGTACTTTACATTATAGTCTACCATAAAGCATTGATAGTTCACTAAAAATGCAATATGTGTTTTTTGATTACTGTGCTTTCAGGGAGAAAATTGAAAAACAAAATAGGAAAATTGTAATACAATAAAACTGCTTTGTGTATCTAATGTGATGATTTGAACACACCCCAGGTAGCCTGGCAGCAGATCAGAGTGGTATAGGAGAGCAGGGAATAGAAGTACTGACAGCTTATTGCCCCTTCTGTAATTGAACTGTTAGTTTCCCTACTTTGTGCAAAGAGCAGGTTCTGTTTAAATACATATGTGTCTCTGATCTAGTCTTTTCAGATGCAATTATAAAATGGAAGCTTGAAAACAGATTCTTGCAATGTCTGACTCATGAATGATCTTGCTTTGTGACCTTTTTATATGGACAATAATATCTCTTACAATAAACTCATCTCAGGAGACTGATGGTGTAAACGATCGTTCAAGGAAACCGCAGTTGTGGAGAAGAAAACTACTTCCTCACAAGTCCCAATTTCTGAAGGAAAGCTTCAGCCGGGTCCCCCGAGCACTACAAAGAAAGGTATTAATAAAGCTTGTGTATTTCTTTCTTTTAGTATACAGTGTCCTGCAGCTTGTGATTGTTGGCATTCCTTGATCAATGTGCAATAGATAAATGGGTGTCTGTAGAGTGTACAGGAAGTAAAAGAAGACTTGTGAAAAGAAAAAAAAATCCTCCAAAGGTTTACAGGCCCAGTACCCAGTATGTAAGACAGGGGCTTACTCTATAGACCACTGCAAAGCGCAATGATGTACAATACCAACCAACCAGATTTCACATTAGAGGCAAGTATAATGTTACACAATAGGTCCACCAGTCCCTCTTCACTTACCTAAATGAACAGAGTAGATAGATCACTTGCAAGCAATTTAATAAGGTCAAAATCAGTGTGCAAAGGCATTAAACTACAGAAGCTTATCAGAAGTCATCTTTCATGAAAGCTGATTCCTTCTAGTCTCTGCACACGCAGTTGTTACTCTGTGCAAACATTTAAAATGCTTATATTTTATGTCCTCCTATATTGTATGACTTTGCCATTTTGTGGTGGCAAAGTGTTGGTGTCATTTGGTTGTGTCCAGGAACTAATCACTGTATATATTACTGTTCTGCCTTCCAGACTCCAGCCACCCTGAACCGAATAGCTGTATACTTCTCAGATGAAGAGTGGGAAATGCTGGAAGAATGGCAGAAAGAACTCTACAAGAAAATCATGAAAGAGAACTATGAATCCTTAATAGCACTTGGTGAGAATAACAATCCAAATCTGCAGCACTTTACATACACAATTGCTACATGCGTCAAATAGAGCTGCACCGTTCATGGTTGGGGAAAATGACGGGGCTTGGTAAGAAGGGGCATGGCTTCATATATCTGGTATTTGTGCAGGTTATTGAAATGGTCTGTAACCTATAACTTTTGAACTGGAGTCTTGCACGCTGTTTAATGCTCTCAATATAAATAAAGATTAAGGGACCGTTTTATGGTCATGTAAGCCTGTTGTATTAAAAGTCTTTATTTGAATATTCAGCACTTTTGCATACAAGTTTTTATATGACCAGTTCAAAACTAATCTAGAGGTTTCCATAAGAGAGCCACTAGGTGGCAGCAAATATACATAACGGCACCGAAAGTCGAATACATTTTGCTGCTACTGTAAATTTAACAGCAATGTAAAAATATAAACAATTTTGTACAAATAGAAAAAAATAAAAACAAATTGATGGATCAAAATAAAAATAGCTTTCCAACTTTCTATACTTTCTATTTACAGAATAGGAGCCAGTTAATGTTAGTAAAGGTCATCCTAGTGAAGTTCTATGGAGACTTTCTGTAGCCACAGCAGGGAGAAGAGGTGTTTTTTTTTTTTTTTAGTTCAAAGAGAAATCCAATCAGCTACGGGCTGACTGTGTAGTGTAACATTGTATGGTTCAATTGTTTGCGTAAATCAAGCATACTGTTTTAAATGGAGTTTGTTAGATTAAATGTAAGTAAACATGTAGCACCAAAATAATGGTGTCATACCTTCAACACTGTTTATTGATTTTATTTATTGTTCATATAGTTCCTTTTGATAACGATCATGCTGTATAAAGTAGCAATTTTTTCCCCTTATTTTCAGGTTACCCCACAGTCAATCCAAACATTTTACGGAAGATCAAACAGGAGGAAGTTATGCGCTACACAGCTTGTTCTTCAGATGATTTGGAACATCCTGACAGCCCTACTACAGGTAATTGTTTTCTGTGTATGTAACTTTACACCTGAACTGTGTGTGTGCGCGCGCCTGTCGGCATACTTACTGCCCCTGCTATCGTAAAATGTTGGGTTGATTTTAAATCTGCCTCCACCACCATTTGAGTTTTTTTTTTTTTTCTAAATTATAATATATGGTATATAATCTTAATGCCATAGAAGAAAAGTGTTTTTAATTGTATTAAATTTGCAGTGTAAGCTGTAATGTATATTGATTTAAAAAGAAAATCATTAAAGGTGAGCTAACCCTTTAAAATAACAAAGTTTAATACATATTCACTTTTTCTTTTGTATTTTATTTTAAGGCTTTTGGAGATATTGTGTAGCGTAAATAATTTTATTGACAAAAAGTAAAACCTTTTTTGCTACTTTGATCATTGTATTAAATTAGTGTTACTTTAAATAAAAAGTATACAACTTATTCTATAATTTTTGTCCTATATAAAATAACTGGATCACACAAAACACCCAACATTCCCAGGCGGACAGGAGCAGAGTGAGAAACTACAGCAGGGAGATCTTGCTGTTGGAATATACAAGACATGTAAGAAGCCAGGGGTTAACGCCTTGTAACTTGTGAATGCAGCCTACCCCCCCCTCTTCTTTCCCCTATTAAGGCATTGTTGGGAGAACTCCAAGTCAATTTGAGGCCAGTTTAAAGACATACCATCATTTTGTCCTGAGTTTGCTTATGGATACCCCTGTGCCAGATATACCTTCTAAAGCCTCACAAGCTCCATTTAAGATGTCCAAACCAATGCAACTTTCTTCACATTTCAAAAGAGCACCAACTCTTACTCCCAGGCAGGTTAAATAGATGTGGATATTTACACATGTTTGAATGTCAAGTGGTCTTCTTAATGGGAAGTAAGGAGACAATGGTAATTTACAGGCTGTTACATGGGTTTGTGACAAAAGAAGCATTGTCTTTTTAAAATCTTCACTTTTCAGCAATATGAAAAGCTTTGTCTTTACCTGCTCACTTTTTATTAGATTATGCCAGAATGGATTCTAATCTTCTATCAAGAATAAAACAAGATGAGGATCAATATTTATCGGCCAGCCCGGATTCAGAAGGAGAAATAAATAGCTATCATAGCTCATGTGAGTAATTATGAGGGTTTATATTCAATCTTTGGTAATTTGAGGAGCTAAAGGTTTTGATGTTGGGCAGGCTACTGAAGTATATTCACTAGTCATTGAGAGATGTCCTGCAGGTGTTTACATTGGCTTAGTCCTGCTAGGATCTAACGGACACATAAGACATTTATATTTTATGTCATCACTGAATAGATATCTTGAAATGCTAGGTTTTGGCTTTATGCCTCCTTGGTGTCCTATCAGTCAATGGAGAATGGGGACAGAGTCCTTGATCTGCAGCTCACCTGCCTCCCACAGCCGTTATATACTCACCCAATGAATCCAGAATACCTGAACACTTCAAAGTTCAGTCATTGCCATTCTACTACCTAGAGATCTGACATTTCCAGCAGACGATCAGGCTAGGACTTAGAATATTGGGTTTTTTTTTAACCGAAAGAGTAGTTGAAGCTTTAAAAAGACTTCTTGCAGAGTTAATGAGTTGGTCAACAGGGAATTTAAACATGCGTGGGACAAAGCTAGATCTATATTTGAACAAAAAGGTTTAAAGAAAAAAGGGGGAGGGCAGGGTCGATGGACCACATGCTGCTTTTAAAAAAAGGTTGTTCTACCTTTTTGTTTGCCATTATGTATGTCATATGTTGCTGACAGCCACAGCATTAAGCGGGTGCTTGCATTCAGTGTGATAATGTGTGATTATTATCTGTGTGATAATGTAGGCAGCACTGTGCACACAGCACAGGTCAGTTCACAGGAGCTCATCTTGGTGTCTGCAGGACCACGTATTTGTACAGTTTGCGGATGCTGGCATTTGCGGCTATGTATGCAATACAGACTGTATTTATCTGTTTTAAACATTTAAGCCTTCGGTGTGCATACAGCACAGTACGTTTTGGCATGTGTGGAATCCTGTGTGGAGCCATGGTGTGTATGCATTACAGCTTGCATTTAGGCAAAAGGGCAAATATAGCTATATACAAGCATTAAATGGGCCTAAAATAAATTTGTGACACCAGACAGGAAGATTCATTGTGAAAAAAAAAAATATTGTATACAATTTTGGCCTATGTGATTACAAACGATGTGCTCTTTGTTTACAGATGATATCCCACTTAGCACTAACATAAAAGAGGAAAACCTTGACAAATGGAATGGCCAGCTGAGCATTCAAGAGCCTGTTTCTATGACCTATAACCTCTCCCAGTGTTTTAGTAATGGTAGAAATGGTGAATTATATCCTGCGTCTATGTGGATAGCAAGAGATGCATCACCCAATGGTTTTGTTATACCTAGCTCTGATGGAAGATCATTAAGCCCTATCACAGCTGTTCAACAGATAGACAGTCCTTATAGCTGGTTCTTTTTTAATAAATCCTTCTTGAACTCTAACATGGAAACCAAGCAGGGTAAACCAGGAGAGCTGAGGCCGTATAAATGCTCACAGTGTGATAAAAGCTTTACTGTCAAGTCTAACTTGATTAAACATCACCGTATTCACACGGGAGAACGTCCATACAAGTGCACGCTCTGTTCCAAAAGCTTCAGCCGCAACTCGCACCTGATCACCCACCAGCGCACTCACACAGGAGAGCGACCTTATAAGTGTAATGAGTGTGACAAGAGCTTTATCCAGAACTCTGTGCTAATCCAACACCAAAGGATCCATACTGGGGAGCGTCCCTTTAAATGTGAGGAATGCAATAAGCGCTTCAGCCAGAAATCCTGCCTCATCCGTCACCAAAGAACTCACAAGAGATAGTCTGCAAAAAGATGAGCAAAGCATGTTTGGCATACAGGGATGTTTACATGTATGAGTGTCATGGGACATGGCAGAAGCTCTCCGATCGGACAAGAGCAATAACAATGGTCTGTATGTATTCTCTTTTTTGTTTTGTTTTTTTAACAGAAGAGCTCCAAGAAAATCAAGCCAGTGAAATAGTAACCCCCTTTTTCAGCAGTGCACTTCGGCTGCATATGTAATGCATACAAACTTCAGATGAAATTTCTCATTCTTGTGGATATGTTTGTTCACGTGTGCGAACTTGCTTAACTAAGCTGCATCTAGCAAGGGCTGCATGCTGAGTGTATTTGCACATGGCAATTTATGTGCATGTACATAAACACAGCTTAAAGAAGAGCTATCTAGGTCCATGTGAATCTTTCACTGTATGTCACTTTTTGTGTAGGGAAAAAAAAAATGGTTTCTAATTTGAATTGCCTTCAAGCCTTTGACAGCCAACTGTCCAGACTCCAGAGCATATAAGAGATGCTTTCCTGACCATCTTATCCTCCTTTATATAATCCAGCTCCACTTCCCTTCAGTAACCCCCAAAAAAGCACACTTGCTCTCTATCTGGCTATTCTCTTATAACTGGACATGTATAGTCTTTGACTAGAAGGTCATTCCTGGAAGTAGTGGGAGAAAGATCTCCTGCTGTAACAGTAGGCAAGAGTTGGAACTCCTGTGCTGCTCTCTGTTTAATAGAAAGCAGTAAAAGCTTCCTATTAGACAGTAAAAGCTTTGAAGAGCAGGAAATTATGCCATGAGGGTAAGACGAATACTGTCCTCATGGTACATTTAGGTCCCTCCAAAGCAGTCAGTGGATTTAAGGCAACAAAAAATGTAACAAAGCATGAAAAGTGAAATATGATTTCCTTTTATCTTTCACATGGAACATTTTTCTTTTTAATGCTCTTGTAGATAGCTGTTCTTTACTGTATGTTTTTGTGCATTTCTAAATGTAGGAGCTGTTAGAATTTTCTGGCAGCACATTTCTGACCAGGGATATTGTTAGAAACCATCAAAATACAATAAACACATTCAAAAAGTGTTATTGTGCAGTAAAATGCAGATGATTACATTGTGTGTTTTTAATCACTGGCATGAGTAAAAAAAAAAAAAGAAGGTACCGCCATAAATCCAGCCATTTTTTAAGAGTCACAACATCATCTCTACTGCTTATTGTACTCTAGCACTCTAATACAGATGCCATTGCAAAATGTGATTTGGTCTAATTAAAAGTGAAGCAGTAGCATACATCAAAGTGCAGTTTTTTTATGTGAAGGGACAGAAGTTTTTCTCATCAATTCTATTACCATTGAATCATGAGGTTTATTTCTTGTTTTGGGATAGTGGACGGGGATTTGAAAACTGTACTTTCTATCCGATTGGTCAACTGTGTTCCAAAAACTACCAGTGGGTAGCATAGATGGCTGAGAATGATATTCAAATCATATCAAGCTCTTTTTCAGGTTTGCTATTGCTCATCAGCTCAAGGAATGAAAACTATAACTTTTGTGGAATAACACAAAAAAGGGAGAAACAATACGGGGCCACCATTAAGGATATGATGAGCTGGATTAGGTTAATAACTTCTGCTTTATTGAGTCATTGCTTTATTTTACAGTATTTTAGTGGAGGGCTTTTGGTTCCTTTTTAAAGGGTTTGTAGAGGCAATACACTAAAACCAGCCCCAGTAGTACAGCACTTTCACTGTACTCAGTGTTTACATAAATTCCTTGACTGTAGGTCATTGGACTAATTTTGTGCTCTGTAATTGGCTTTAATGCAAGTTAACCCAAGCATGGGGAGCAAGGGGGAAGGCCTCAGTTTAATATATACATGGGTATGAGCTGGGAGTCAGAAGAACTGACCATGAAATATCTTTCCATAACCAGATAATTTTGACTGAATGTATATGTTTATGCACGAATACCCAACACCAATCTTCTCAGTCTTTCCACCATTTTTGTTTGCCCTGTCATTGGTGAACTGAAGTTGATGGGTGTCCATAGAAATTCTGCCATTTTCCGATACATTATAAGCCAGTATGGACACCGATCATGTCATATATGTGGGTATTTTAGGTTTCCAATCTGATGCATCCTGCGCGCCCCCCCATTTACTTTAGTATTATATTGACACTCCTAGGTAAAGTTGTGTCAATGTTTTGGGTACCTTCTGGTACAATCCCTTAATCTACTTTACCCAAAGGGTCATACTTGAAACTGTTAGCTGTATTAAATGACAGACTTTTACATCTCAGACCTTTTACTCATTTAAAGCACTAATTGTTATTGTTTCATTTTATTATTTTTTTTTTTGTACGAAGTGGGAGAAACTGTATGGGTTCTTTGAAACACTAGATGTTCTAGATTTAACACTGCAATTGTCGTAATATTAAACAAACCATGAAACTGTAACGTCATTCCTACCCCACATTTTTAATACGGATTAGGCAGGTAAAATGTTTGCTAAATTTTGCAACTATTAATCATTAGCCATTATGTTGGGTTTAAAATATGCTTTGTGCCTATAGGGAATATTCAGCTGCTCTGCTGTTTGGCATTCACTGTATGTGAGAGATGGCCACCTTGTCAGCAGTGGCATCACAAGGGGGGTGCGGCCTGCACCCGGGTGTCACCCCCTCTAAAAAGTTGGGCACTCGGTCATGAACCAAGAGCCCGACAGTGTCAGGAGAGAGGGTGAACGTCCCCTCCTCTCTCTGCTGACGTCCATCACTAAGATGGGCGCCGACAGCCGTCAATTAGATGACAGCGCATGCGCGATGACGTCATCGTTGTGTCACCCAGTCTCTGCTCAAGGTGACACCCGGCCTCGGGACGCCCCTGCTTGTCAAATTACACTTATTGGCAGCTGAGAAATTGGTACATGTGAAAATTGATTACTGGGCATAGTGTATATTTCCAAACCTGCACAAATATAACCGAGATATATGTAAAGAATACTATTAAACTTTATCTCCTTATTCACTATCTATTGTCAAATATGTGGCGAAAAATGGAGCTGCAGTTTAAGTATATCATCATCTAATGATATTATTTATGCCAAACAAATCGAAACTGAGTTTAGTGGAGTGTTGCTGATTGTTTATATTTGGCACTGAGGCTGAGCATTCATTTTTATGAGAATACAAGTTACTATTCTTTACATTATTGAGCAATCCCCATCCCAGGCCCCCTCCTGGAAAATTTTCTTCCACGAAACCGGTCCCTGCTGCCAAAAAGGTTGGGGACTGCTTCTTTAAATAACAGGGATTGATTCCGCACCTGAGAATGTTTTGTGCAAGTCACATTCAATTCTTTATCAATAGACCCTTAAGGCCTCATTCACACTGACATTGATAAATATATGTTAATGGAACACTTCTAAAAAATGTTTTTCATGGTATATTTCAGACTATGCATTGAGGTGCGCTCAGTTGAGCTGCATTTAGAGAAAGTAGAATTCTGTGCACCCAGGGTCTGATTCTCTAAACATGGCTAAACCCGTGTAAAGGTAGGTACATCTAAATGCAAGATAACTTGATCTGGGAAGCATTAAGTTTGTTCATACTTCCCAGATTATTTTTTTCCTGTGTTTTACTGATCCTAAATGCAGGAGTGTCAATTTGAATGTAACATTAGGGCTTGTGTACATCATGTCAGTTGACCTGTGTTTTCAGCACACCACTGCACATTTATGGTATGAACATTTGTTTTCCATGTGTGTTTTTTTTCTTTCATATCATACATGTGCGCTGGTGTGCAGAAAAACACAGCTCAGTTGACATGGGGGAACTATCAAAATCGGAGCAGACAGAATCTGGAGCAGTTTCCCTTAATAACCCATCATCTTCTCTCTTCAGTTTAACAGCTTTACGCATTGAAAATGAGAGCTAGAAACTGGTTGCCGTGCACAGATGCTCTAGATTCTGTCTGCTCCAGCATTGATAAATTCCCCTCCATGGTGTGAACAAGCCCTTTAGTGTTTCGTTTGAGTATTTAGGAATATTTTCCCACCATGCTCTGTGCTTATTCTTATAATTATGAAGAAAGAGGTGTTTTTTTCCTGTTTGGAAGATATTCTTTTTTCATTGACAAATGCGGAGACATTTTATTCGCAGGCCATTTGGTATTGATAAGTGAAACAAAGCATTTTATGCGGATAGTAGGTTAATGGTTACTTGGACTACTTGAAGAGTAAGTACATCCAAGTATGATAACTTGGTTTTTAGTGGATACTGAAGGGGCTCAATCCTTTGCTGGCTCTGCATGATATTTGGGAACAATAGCAGGTAATTCTCCTAAGACTCTTGACGTCCTGTTCTGCTAAGACTGCATGCCAATAATGGGAATTGTAGCTTGGGCTGCTTTCTTCATCTATTTCCCTACCATATTAAGAAAGAGGCAAGTAACCACATTGCTCTGCATATTGTTTTAAGTATTATTGCTTGAGATATCTAATAGAGAATCTTTTCAATGGAGTGGCACAAACCGTGTGATATGCCTCTGTGCACCACTGCTGCTGTCGCAAGCATTTCCTATATTCTTGTGTTTTTCAGAGAGCGAGCAGGTTTGCCACATCATGAGAACGCAGGCGGCGGCAGAACGAATAGGCGTACAATAAAGTGTTCAAGCCCTGCCCTAGGAAAGCTACACTCCGTTCATTCACAGATTTACAAGGCAACCCCCTCCCCTTTTTGTTAAACTACAGGTCACCTTAAAGTGTATTTCCACCTCTGCAGCCAAAATTGAGAAAACCCCCCTACTATGTGTTTTTGTGTTTTTAGATTTACACAGTGTATCCAAAAATAATAGAAAATATATTTGTTTTTACCCCTTGGCATGTGTTTGTGTTACATGCTTGTGCAAGCTTTTATCTCAATTTCAGTAACTGGAAACTGACTGCCCTAATAAGAACAGACTGAGCTCCCCCTCATTTATAGTGTCCTTAGATATGTAACCCTTTGTTAGGACACAGTCCTGCTAATCTAATTTACACTTGCCAATGAAATCTGCCATAGTAGTACAGACAGGGATATTTATCTGAAGCAAAACTCCCTCCAACGCCCCAAACAGTGTGG